TTTGGCATATTCATGCATGATATATTGGTAGGATAAGAAAAGCATATATCTTCATAGATTCAGGATTAATCTTTATTTAGTAATAAATTGACATATTCGCGCATGATATTTTAAACTTACATAAGATGGTAATATGCTTATTTTAAATCACACTAATTTAACTAATAATATTAATTAGTAATTCATATACAGTAGTCATACAAGCCTATATCTTTAGATATTCACTAATCATTTAACATTGATAAATTTGATATGATTTAATAGATTCATGATTTTAGTTATTTAATATACATATTTCTTTATTAGTATCTACCCTCATATTTGGCCTTGATTTTGAAAATGATGGTAGTGCATGTAAGTTAAAAATTATTTACTAATTAATGTATATATATTACCATTTTCATGTAAGTTAAAAATAAATATTAATTAGTATAAATATATTACTATATTTACGTGTGATGTGATTATATAAAAGTGAACAAGATTGACACTACGATCGAAACACATAAGACATATTTACACATACTCAGCAAAACTTCAAAAAAAAAAAAAAAAAAAAAAAAATGGCTTCCCTCTTTATGTTGATAAAAAATTTGACACTCATTGCAACAACAGACGTTGAAATTTTGTCTAATTATGATGTATGAACGGATTACAACTTATAGGGAAATATGATTCACTTTATTGAGTGAATTTTTCATATTTCTTAGGTGTGTTTATGTCCATTATTAGTTTATATAATATTTTAGTCAATGAACTTATAATGCCTTTAAATATTGTGCCATTCTATGACGTGTTAATCTTATCATGGCTCTAGAGAAAATGGAAGTGGTTCGTCCAATTAAACATAATATTTTTGTTCTAAATCTATATTAATAAATAACAATACCATAGTCTTTTTAAACTTTGAATAAAGCGCAGTGAAGTCAAAGAGCTCAAAAAGAGAGAGGTTGTTGTCTTTTTACTAATTGTAGTTCACAAATTTAATTGTTCTGGTCAAATTATTGATTTTTTGAAACTTCAAATTCATAAATTGAAAAAAATCATATACCCATGACATGTCTATCTTGCAGGAACGCAAGCATTCACATTATATTTTAAATATACTTATTACTAATCTGTGTTGAAAATGATTTATTGATAATAACCACTGAAAAAGACTGGTTAGTAAAATAAAGTCTTCATCATTAAATTCTTGCTTTTCACAACATATAAAAAAATGAGAAAATTGTTTGCAACCCCAAATTACATGTTTTATAATAACTAGTATTCGACTTGTGCATTTGCACAGATATATAAATAAAGTATTGTGAGTTATTTGTATTCATATAATGATTAATGATTTTTGCCAAATTTACAATTAAACTGAAATATTTATTTTTTAAAATTGTGTTTATCATATTGGATGTAATGTATATTTTGATATGTATCTTTTTTTGTGAAATTATTTATTATTTATTTAGAAATTTCAAATACGTTTTTTATTTTCCAAAAGAAGTTAATTTAAATGTAACCACAATAATAACATCTAATCACATTAAATAGTCAATACATTATATGATCAGTTGTAAGTAAATGAAAAATTTAAAATGATATTTGTAATTTTAAAGTGATTAGTGTGTTGATTATTTAATATAAATGAGAGGTTACATATATAAAAAGTAACGGTTTTTGGAGGGAAAAAATTATATTGCCACATAGGTATAATTTAATAGGTTTTATTAAATGTTCATTAGCCAACAATTATATATATAGATAATAACCAATTCAAATTGAATGAAGTTCTATTATACGCACAAAATTGTTGTCTGCCATTAAGGCTATTTGAGATTTTTTTTTTTTCAATTTCAGATTTAATGGTTTATTCTGTAACAATAATAATCATTTCGTATTTGTCTAAAAAAAAAATACTAACAAGCGACATCAATTTGAAATACAAAATACATGTGGATTAAATGATACATTGAATTTTGTGGATGTTTCTTCTTTATATTTTAACAAGAACTGCAAATTCATTTAGAAATATTTTGTTAGCCCTCTACATCTTGCTTATGTGTTTATAGGGCGATCGAATTTAAGGTAGTATTAAATAAAATGATAGAGATATCAAAATCTTGTGGAGGGAACATTTTAATCTTCTAATCTTTTTTTTTTCCCAGATGATAGAATCTATATAAATAAACCGGGGGACACCCTAAAGTTTGAACAATAACAAGACCATGGGAGACACACTATGAAAGTGGTCTAGAGACACAAATAAAACCACGACTAAGACGGGGATGCAACCACCGAGACCTTACTCGCAAACCAAACAGAAACCTGCCAACCAACTCACACAAACTACAAACAAAACCTAGGAAAATAAAAGCAGCACAAGAGCCCAACTCACCACTGAGAAGAAACACAAATAAACCTAGCAAACTAAAAACATAAAACGAAACAACAAACTAATGATGCCCAGCAACCCACTCCTGCCATTCTCTCCAAGTCCCTTTAGCTATCACATCCTCATGCATCCAGATATTCTCAAACAACCATAAGTTCCGAGATCGCCAAAGCCACCATAAAATGTAAGTTGAGAGTTGTATTCTATCTTCGGCTACCACGGATTTGTCTACAGAGCATACATTGTTCCACCATAGTCTAAATTTATTCTGGCTCCCTTGCTCAACAACCCATGACACAGGGGTTAACTTCCATACTTTCCTTGCTCGAACACAATTAATAAGCAAATGTTCTACAGTTTCCAAGTCTTCACCACACATTTTGGAAATGCAATCAATAGCCATACCTCTCTTCAATATATTCAAACCTACTGACAGCACATCATTGTAACATTTCCACACGAAATGTTTCAATTTACCATTCACCTTGAGCTTTGTTGTATACAAATTGTTATTTTTACCGAGTATCGAATCGAAAGATTCGTTCCCCGGGTCGATCTCACGAGGAAGGCGGTTTGGAATTTAGCTTTGGTATCGATAACACAAAAAGGAAAAATAAATCCTAAACACTCTAATCAGATAAAGATTGGATGGATTATCAACTAAGAAATAAAATAAAATGCATAAAACATAAATTTACCTAAAACATGAAATAAACCTCAATGAAGAAGCTAGGGAATTGGGGATATCCGTTATGGCTCAAAATACGATTATCGAGCAAGTGATCATTCGGTTAAGAGAATTTTATAAACTACTCGTTCAGAGATTGTCCTCAATAACTCTTCGTAACGAGAGGATTAATATGAACGGTAAATCAATAAGTCCTTTACACATTGGCAATACCATTACGAATAAGCCAATTTCATGTGGCCTAGGTCTATCGACTCCTCCTCTTTCGATTCCAAAAGTCGATTAAATAGCATAATGGTTTTTAATCAATCAAGCAATAGATTCCATGAAATCATTCAAGAGCAAATTCAACCCAATCGATGAACAATTGTAAATTGAAGTGTCACTACT